ACATATAAGCGCACGTCCAGCAAGCTTAGGGAACGTACGGTTATGGGTTTACGCAGCGTGTACGACACAACGACGACGGACGTAATTTTCATCGTTGGCTCATCACAGTAATGGGAGAAACTATACATAAGGTTGGGCGAGAAGAAAAAAAGCAAAAAGGCAAAAGGAAAACGTCGGAAAGTGTGGGGATTCTGCGGAAAGAGGGAAGAGCGAAAAGGGGGCCCTGAAACAACACAACGCAGGCCACGTGGCCATTTCGCCCCTTCGGTCTCTTCTCTTTTTCCCTTCCTCTCACCTCTCCCGTTCTACCTCTCACCAATATTGGAACACGTACACAAAGATAAGGGCTATGTGCCAGTGAGGAAACACATGAGTCCCTGTCATCTGGCCAGCAAGTGGTCGAGACGCGATTCTAGAAGAGCTTACTAGGCGACCCGCTCATACGTCATAAGCGAGAGAGTTGTTTTTGGAACACAACCCGGCGCATGGTACACGCACTCAGCCTCCAGAGAGTTCCGTGAGTCGAATTTTTCCGAGTTGCCGAGAAGTGGATACTTAGAGAAAAGCGATTGCACGGATGGTCCATCGGGAAACGAACATTTTTTACGTTCTCTTCCTCCTTTTCCCGCCAACAAGAACGCCATGATGCTATTCACATTTTCCAGGACCATTTAATTATCTGAATCGCGTGCTACTGCTCTTACTTTCTTGATTTTGACATAAGAAATCTTTCGCGCAATATTTATTTATATAATCTATCCTACTCGTCTCTTGTTTGGGAGAAATCGTCGAGATGATGACCAACAAATAATTTCAAGAAGACTTATGGAAAAGTCGATGGTTTTCATCAAGGAACTCTCATTTAAGAGAAAGTGCGTGATTTCTGGGACACTGCGCGCATCATCATTTTTCATGCCTTCGATGTTGATATTGCATCTTTCACGGGACGTGACGCCACGTGTTAAGGAATATATTATTAGCATTTCGTTGACCGCTGTGTTACGATTGCGCGCGCGTGCACGCGCACGCACGTGCATGTTAGTAGTACACACACATAAAGCGTAAGCAGGCATGGATATTAGTCAGCCAGAGAGCGAAGATGGGGGCGAGCGCCCAGTGGAACGGAGAAAGGGGGCAAGGGGCAGAGGAAGATGGAGATAAGTAGGGAGAGGGAGAGGGAGACAAGTAGAGAGAGGAGGAGAGGAGAGAGAGAGAGAGAGAGAGAGAGAGAGAGAGAGAGAGAGAGAGAGAGAGAGAGACCGTAGAACTCCACGCGAGAGATGGCAGCTTCATAATTGCTTTTAGCTGCGTAGTATGTGCCACTGTCAGCTGTTCCCTTATTACGATGATACACTCCCGTCCGCGTCTTCCTCTCTCGCTGCATTATGTGTGCCACTCCGTCTTCGTCGCCATGATAAACCTGTGCACGAACCCGCTGCTTCCGGAGGAGGGAGGACATAATGCATACGAATCTGCAAACATCATCACCGAGAGATGGAGAGAGTATCGGCAAATACACCGGGGACCTCAGGGGGACAGGGGATCAGGCGCGCACTACATCTATTAGGGGACAAGTTTTTTTTCCAGTAGATAAATCCTGGTGGCAATGTGTCGTTTCGAGTAAGACTCCGTTATTTTTTCTCCCTGTGTACCGTTGCCTGACTGAATAATGAAATAGTAGGCTATCTCAACAGTTTAGATCTACAGACACGCTCCGCAGGCAAAAGTAACTCTATTTTTGGTTGAAAATGAAATTAGAAATTAAAAAACTACTAAATAATTTTAAAATAAAGTACTTCACGGACGGAAAGAATGTTAGCATTGTAATTAAGTAAAAAAAGTCCATTAAGGCTCCAGTAAATTCAGTTAATTAACATGATACTGTATTATAATGTAGAATAAATTAGGTGATACATGATTTTTAGACAAAAAGCGTATTCTTTATCTATTTCCTAGTTAATTAAAAATTAATAAATGCTCCGGAGCACACTGGTCATCACACAATGTGATGATATCTCTAGAGAAAGATATATTTTCCATAAGTACATTTTCCCTCCTGAAAAAGCAATATCTCATCTACTCAAACTCATCTCCAGCTACTGGGTTCGAAAGATTCCTTTATTGAGAAAGTAATTGACTGATTAAGTTCCATATAATAAGAAATCGCAGAAAATGATAAATCAATACAATTCTTCCTCACAAACATCGTTAGAACAAAAAAAAATTCAAGCAAACAAACTATTGATATGTTATTATTATCAATAACACTAAGTTGACTCATCAATTATGCAATTTTAAGATTATATTAATCTTACGAATCAAATAATATTATATAATTAGTATTAATTTTCTAGCTTACTCGTATATTTAGATCAAATGTGAACTATGTTTTGCCATATTTTTTTCTATCGATCAATAAGAAAAAAATAGGAAAAAAAAATTCTCTTTGTTATTTTTATTCTTAGTAAATATCACGTATCTTTTCTACCTTCAGGAGAGATCGCTAACAACATGTGCTCTTTCACTACTCTTTGACACGTGCATTATGTTTTTCTGAGTTTGAAGAAGATCGAACTATCACATTAGGGATCGACGAATCCGAGAAGATCCTTGGCCACCCTTTAATCTTCGTTAAAACGAACTATACTGCTATACCATTCATCCCCTTCATCTAAACCTCGCGAGAAGCTTGATTAATCGTCCGACTAATTGAGAAATAAGTAGTTTTGTATTCTTCGCTTAAATCTAAATCTTCACTCATTTCGCAGAGAATAATCGCGAGGGCGTGAACGAGACTTGAAAATCGCGATAATAAGAAAATGAAGAACGACTTTAATGATCTTAACGATGCCGCTTTAGCATGAACGGAGTTTCCCATGAAGAAGGAAAGGTATCGGTCGATGCGACACGTGTGTTCATCGACGTTGCCACGTGGCGACCCTCGAGGGGATGCTAATGCACGTGACCTCGTCATTGTATCGGCATTGGAGCGAAAGGTCGATGTGATTTCGAAGGTCTTGTCAGCGGTCTTGAAATTCGTATCTAAAGAATATCCGTCGAGAAGTGTATTTAATCTATGGTCAACATACTAAATTAACTCTCACATTGAATCTATCCTAAACTCAACTGACTCAGAAAAATATTTTCAAATGTAACAATGTTCTAATCTTAATTAATCACTACTATTATTTAAAAAAAATTTGCAATAAATATCATATGATACTAAATTACTCTAGTTAACATTTAAATAATTTAATTAATTCTCAGACTAACAATTGTATTAAGATACTTCACTGAAATGTAATTTTTATGTCATAAGATCATAAATACAATTATATTGTAAATTACAATACGAAATATAATAAATTCCATGCACATGGCATTGTTAGTGATCTCGCCTGAAGGCAGAAAAAATACATAATACCTATTAAGAACGAAAATGATGAGAAAATTTTATTTTTTTCCTCCTATTTATTTCCTATTGATTAAAAAAAACATGGTAAAAAATAATTTACATATAATTTAAATATAAACTAAAAAAAATTAATATTAATTATATTATTGTACAAATAAAAACAAATATTTATCACTGTACATCCCGCGTTAGTTTCTCTTTCTTCACGTGTTACAAGATTCGAGATAGTATTTAATATTCCAGCGACCAACCGATAAGTCGTAGGTTAAAAATTTGTCAAGCATCGATCACGAGCGAGGGGCGTACAAAACGCGAAGATTCGTGTAGTCATGTTAGAGCATTTTTATATCGAAGATACAAGTGATTTCGAATGACACGATCTTTATGTGACGCGCCCATACGTCGCCTTTACGCGTCGAGACTCTCGGGACTGCGCGAGATAAATCGGTATATGCACGAACGATCGTTGAATAATAGCCAGGCCGATTCAATCTGTCATTCGTTAACCACCTTCTAACTATGATAAATGGATACCTCGAAACGATACAACGTGCAACGATACACATAGTCCCGGTATCTTCTTTGCATATCTGTCCATCGATCCGATCACCACGATCTAGCCGATCGTTACTCCACGTGCTGATCGATGTAAAAGAGACAACAAATACTTAATAAAACACGCCTGTTTATATCGCTTCGATGCAATGAAATACGGATCGATACGCAATTGCTCAGGCAAAATCCAAGACGTACAAAATTCAAGAGAGCTTGGATTTATATTTCTAATGAGACCATAACAAAACCATAATTTAAATTGAAGGCTTAAACGAAAGACAAACATCAAAAAAAGCATAAAGAGATGTAAAGATTGAAAAGAATGTCAGTTGTATGTTAAATGATACTCAAATTCAGTTCAGATTTTCTACTCGACTGCCTGCTTTATCTCTTCACACTTGATTGAAATATAGATATTATTTCTAACGTATTCATAACAAAACTGCAATTTAAGTTGAAGGCTTAAACGAGAGGAAAACTCTACTGATTTGGATTTCTACTCGACTGTCTGCTTTTTACCTCTTCATGCTTGTCTGAAACATATGTATTATTTCAAAGATAACGTTTCTCCGAACAAGACGGAACATGAATTTAATTATCGGAATAAGAATTTTAACGATCGTTTATACATGTTGCGCAAATATTTGTAGCTTCAAAAATTTCAGACTCTAGAAAAATTGGATTTAATCAGATTCAAGAAATTCAATATTAATCTTCTCTGATCTTATACGCATTGACGTTAATAAAATGTTCATATTTACAAAGATCTTATTATAGATAGCCCAGAGATTGCGTGAGATCTCTGCGAACTGAAATTCAAGATTGATACTCATATTCATACTATACTCTCGAGTGTTGCAAAGATAACCGTATTAACGAAGATTTTTCATGGACCGTTCACTGATCCATATCGCGACTGGAAACGGATACCTACTTCGTGCCTTCGGTTGGTCGAAGGATAATCGCGCATCTCCTTCATTTCTAAATCCACTCTCGGATTTATAACACTACTCGAGACGCGACGCGAACTATGGCGAATTACATCCCTCGATGCGAGGAACTCCGATTTGCGGATAGCGAAATATCAAGAGTCCAGGCGCTGGCCGTGCTTGATTTATTCTCGGTAACCTTATAAATCATCGGTTCCTCGCAATCGACATGGAGTCATCTCCTTCGCCGGCCCGCGTATCCTTCGTTTTCGCGTTTTGCGCAGCGATGTACCTTTCTCTCAACGCGAACCAAATGTCAGAGGCCCCACTTCGCGAAGACGCGATTCGACAGGCAACAAATTGGGGTAAACTATGCATTTTTAAGTAAATAAGATTTTTGTTCTCTTGCATGAAATAGCCGATAAATATCTTATTGCACAATAATATAGATACATATAAACGTGTGATCGTATTGTATTACAAAACAATAATAATTATATGTATAAAGTAATATTTGTATTTTTCTAAAACGAAAAGTTTTAGAAATTATATTATAATATTCTTACGTATAATGTAGATAATAATTGAAGTAATTGTTTACTGAAACTTAAAATGATTTTATCAGCTAGAAAAATTTACAATATTAAGCAAAGAAAACCATTCGACTAAAGTGAGTTTTGACGTCTAATATTTTTGCATGAATTTGACAATTGCCAGCTTCAAGCAAACTGAGCGCCAATTATTTGATCTTGAAGCAGAATCCTAAACTAAAAAATTGTGATATTAAGTATTTCAGTTTTAATTTAAAACTGTGTGTTTCAAGGCCGACAAATAATCAGCGTGAAATAATAATTTGTTTGAAGCAGAAAATTTTTAATTTTACACAAAAGTATTATTAGGCACCAAGATCCACTTTGACTGAATATGGCCTCCTTAGCATTTAATTGTGTTTAATTTGTCATTATTAATTTTATGTACAACGTTAAAATACTAAAATTTAATAGTTTCAAAACATGTTACAAGAAGCTTAATTGCCTTCATTTTACGAAAAACTGAATTATCCGACCATATTCCCTAGACCAGCTATTCACATTTGTCCTATCATCGGAATCTCTGTCAGCGAGACGTGTTGATCCTCGAAGATGCCAATCAGTTTCGTGGACTAACACCGATAGATCACCAACGCGACACGTTGGTCATTCTACTTCCATGACAGTTAATGCGAAGAAGACCCTCTCTCGCAGGCTGCGCCGTGAAAGGACATATACTTATCTACGAGGCGCATCCCATTAGGTAGCCTCGAGGGATTCGTCCTTCGAGCATGCGAGATATTCCGACCTCTCGACTATCCTTCTTTGCTTAGAGATGAATAAAATTGCCCTTTAAAGCAAATTCACCGGGAGCGGTGCCACACATTCGTCACAACCCTTGTCAGCCCTTTTAAATCCACCCTTATCGAAGTGGAACAACGCTCGATAACCGAATACGTTTGAATCGAAACACACTCACAGTGTCCCCGAGTTCTATAAGATACCTCCGAGATTTTGGAAGGATCACACAAAAATAACGGTTCTCAATCTTTAAAACGCGATTCATATATTTCTCCTACTTTTCGTTCTGACAAATAAATTCTATAATAATTTAGAACAAATTAAAATTTTAACGTTCGTGGATACTTAATTATTGCCATCAAGATTAAATGCCAGAAAATGAACTTTCTTAGATTTTACTTAAAATTATATTTTTGTAATTATACCTTTAGATAGGAACAATGATAATCCCTTGAGTTGAGTTAAATGATATTCTGTTATTTTTAACTTTTTTTTTTATGAAAATGTAAATCAATCCATTTCGACAGTTAAATTGCATAGTTTCAAAGTAAACAGCGTCAATATTAACATGTGTATTTAATAAATAATAAATTTGAATCCAAAATACATTTCTTAAATTTAATCATTTAACCCCATGTTGTTTTAGTTAAACGACATATTAAGTAGAAGCAGTAACGACCAATAGAGATGATTAGAAATAACCCAAATTGAGTACAATTTGATGTTATGAATTTAATATATGTTTCAATCATTTATTGCGAAACTCAGTTTCTACAAACAGATATAGATAAGAATAGTGGAAAGGAATTTTATCTCTCATGTTGTTCCGATTAAATGTGCAATCTTCCTTTCGCACAAATCGAGAAACAGAGACGTTTGACGTACTTGATACAAGCCGAACGTCCGTGTTCTCCTTCAAGAGGACATCGTTCTACTACCAGTAGCGAAGGGTCTTAGCATACAATAGCGAGAGAAAAAGGCCCGCCGAGTTGGTAAAGAGCACACGGCAGTAACTTTACTCGCCCGTAGCCCAACACCGAAATATAATACACGCTAGCGTGATACATAATGCAAAAGGTGAGCGCGCGTACAACGATCCGTTACGCAGATATAGATGGATAGATAAATCAATTTATTACGCTGCGAGATATCTTCTTAAGATCGCGCGTGGTAAATTGCGTAAATATGTAGAATGTTAAGTAGCATAAGCAGAACGAGAAACATTGCAATCGATAATCGTGCGTAACGCGAGATTAGCTGTCCAATCAGAAAGTACGCAAATACTCTTGCATACTGAAGAAAATTCTTTTTCCTTAAAGTGCAATGCAAAATAACGTTACACGATTCTCCGAAGCAGCCGATAGTACATACTTCTAAAGTTTCAATCCCGGAACGTGAGTATAAATTTCATTCATCTGCTATATATCGCCGATTTAATCGAACAGTTATTACTGTTCCCAAAGAGTACATTAACATTTAAATTACTGAAACTCGTAACATTTTTTAAAATGATGTAAAACGAACTTTGAGAACTGGCGAAACTTACAAGTGACCTATGTAAAATCAAGATGGTCGTCCGCTTTCCACGTAGTTATCGACTTAAATGACGGGAGATGCAAATGAGACACCAAACGCGCGATAGAGAATCTTACGATCGCTTATAGTATATCTTTTGCGAGTATAGTATATTTTCGATAAACGCATAATTAGCAACATTTTATAATCGCGCGTAAAAACATGGTATCCGCTTTGCGTCACGGCTACGGGAGGTAAATTATTCCCAGGCAACGACATAAATGCAACCATTCGGACTCCGCGCGTTTGCGAAGCGTATCGCATCGCGAATAAGGCAATGAAGAACTGCGGGGTGTCGAAAGTCCACCTATATCGTCGCGAACGTTCGTTTCTGCACGCTCCCGCTATCTGATTGCAGGCTGGTTTCGCGGCGGAAGCCGTTCTCTCGGCTTCTTCGTCTTCGACGCTGAAATGGCGAACGAGGAAGATACGTGCCTCCGAGACGAGTTATCATCGAGATTTATACCTGGCCCCCTTGAGCTTTACCTTTACCCGCCCGAGTGTCTAATGAAGCGATCGCTATGCTCGCCCCAGTTCACAGACTTCCGAGCTCACGCGTTTTTAACGCGATTTTAATTAACAAAACAAACTGCGCTATCTCTAATATTGATCTTTATATGATAACTACATCCATGTAAATTACTAAGGCCCAGTTTCACAAATCATAGTTAACTCTTAACCGAGGTTCAACTTGTTTCTCATCTCTTTCCAATTTTAGAATTGGAAAGAGATAATGAATAAGTTGAATCTCGGTAAAGAGTTAACCGTGAGTTATGAAACTGGGCCTAAGACGCTAAGAGTACGCATTCCTAAAACAAAAAACACTATTACATCAAATTAAAAAATAAAACCCAAAAGACTGTTTTTCATTGAAGTTTTCATAGTATTTCAGTATTTCAATTAAAATAATAGTTAATTGTTTTGGATATGTAATATAGAAATCAAAATTTTTATGATAAATTAGTTTACTTGACACTATTTTAGTCTTCTCGGATTTTTTTTTTCTTTACGATAATAACACTATCAACATTCAAATTCGAAGTATTATAGTACATGTCCTAAAGAATTTTTTGCTTTTCATTTTTTTATTTTATGCTTGTTTCTACCAATGTAGATTAACTTTAATTTTAATTCAACTTGCTCTTCATGCTTTCTTCTAATTCTTAGAAGTAGAAAATAATGAAAAGTTAATTGAACCAAAATTAAAATTAAACTACAAGATAAGTTCATTGATCTTTTCATGCCGAGCTTCAGTGAATGCTATTCGCGTCTATTTTTGTCAGTAACGGCGAGATTTTCTTACTATTTTCTTCAACGACGAGGACCGCAAGGACGGATCTCATCGCTCGACAGATCTTGAAAGCTCGCTCGTGGTCTAACGACCACGTGTTACGCGCTTCTTAACATAGAACGATATACAACCACACGTTAAAATAGAACGCCTTAGTTTTTTTTAATGCGTGATTACAAAATACTGGAAAATCGGGAGAAACAATTTACGAAGAAGAACCCCTACTATACACTTTTTGCGCTCTTTCGTAAAAAAAAAAAAATAATAATTTTCTCTTCATAATGTAACTCTGCCAAATGTAAGCTCCAGTATGCAAGTATAAAAAAGCTCATGAATTTTTCTTTATTAATTCACTTCGTGAATTTGCTAATTCAGATTGCCGATATTCGCCTGTGTATTGGAGAAAACAAGATTATCGTTCGGAATATACAATATTTTGGACTATCACGAATAAAAACATAGCTCGTCAGTATTCGATCGATTCACGATAGATTCTGAGAATATTTTCTAAGAATCATGGAATTCAGAAAAGAATGTCAAGAAGAGGAGATACGGTGGCGAGGTGAGACCGTCATTGCCGATGCATGGGTTGCGCTGCGATCGCCTCCCATAACGCATCAATCTCGCGTCGGAGATCCCTCGGGAGCCCGAGCACGACGCCCTGTCCGAAGCTCCGCCGCGCTCATCCGTCACGGCCGGCACTCCCGAATACACACGTATATACGTACGCGGTGCTCGTACGAACAGAGCGGACAGAGAAAAAGAGAGAAAGGTAGGAAGAGGCATCGGGGTTGGCGACGATCGTGCGTGCCTGCGTACGTGCGTGCGAGATTCGTATTATCCGTCAGGATACCTGCATTACGAGAGCAGCAGTGTACACATGCAGTATCGTGTGACACGTACTGTATACAGAAAGCGGGCTCGAAAAAGAATACCAGCCTTTCTACGTGGTTTCGGTGTCACTAAGGGAGAAATACAACGGGATAATAAGTAAGAGCCCTGAGGGTATGAGCAGCAAAGGGCTCTGGGATTTCGTTTGTGGCTGATAGCTGAAAGTATGTCAATATAGATCTTCGAAATTTACGTTTAATTAGCTGAGTAGCTTTTATTGAATATACTGTGTAATTTTTTATATTGTACTTGTTACTCGTAAAATATTCGCTTTTAT